CTTTGTGGACTCGGAAATAAATTAGAACCTATTGGGATCATTGAAAGAGAATGATTGGTGAGAAGGAAGGGAAAGGTGTTTAATTGCGAGGATAATAATCATGATAACCACCTCGCGAAATAACACTAGATGCATCCAGATCTGTGCAAAGATCAGTACCACGCATATGATGTTAAACGCTCCGGCTACGTAATATTGATGAATGAAATTTTTTATCATGGAAATTATTCCACCACCACCGGCGTAGAAATAACCGACTCCTATGTATATATTGAATGCAATGCTGACTACGGCAGCTGCGAAAAAATGATGGAAGCCTTTCATACATTCTTTCCTGATTCACGGAAAAGGAGTTTAGTCAGAGCAAGCGAAAACGAGAATCGTGTCGTGTTGTTTAAAAGATACTCACTCAAACGCACGATACAAATTTTTGTGTCGAAAAACGAAATCGACAACAGGCCATAGAACCAAGTACAACGCAGCCAACAAAATCTCCCAGGAAATTGTGGAGCCTTTGTAGTAAGTCACCGCTGTGGCGATGACTGCTCCGAGGTTGAATAGAAGTGTGATGAAATAAGCTACAAACAACGGTGGACGCAATTTGTTGTGAGGTCGGGAGATTAAACACATGTATGTAATTTTAATAAAGTTTACGGCGGAGGTTCGAGACAACAATTAATTACCTGACCATATCCTATAAGACCGTTCAATCCTTCGACGAGCTCCTCTTTCGAAGATATCTTCTTGAATGTCGTGACGTGTTATTGGGAAACACGGTGGCCTAAATCACACACAAAGGTGAACTTGACTTGTGAACAACAAGGATTTTTATGCCAATGAGATGGGTAAATTTTCATTCAGAAAAACTTCTTTACCAATTATTAATCTTGTCGGTCATTTTTTTTTTTTTTTTTCTTTACTTCAAAACAATAACACGTTAAAGGCAGACGTTGGAGTTGGATATTGTTTATCGTAATAATAATGGGAAAGTTGGAATAGCTGAACTATTTATTAATTTCTCACATCATGCATGCCACGAATTTTGCATGTACGCACGTCCGATCGATAATTATATTTTTAAGAAATATGCGAAATCATTGTAGACAACCTCGACCACCCATGCACGTCGAATTGTTATGCATTCTATTGTGTGGAAACTAACACAAAAAAATTGCAAGACGATTGACTTTTTCTTTTCTCAAAAGACGGCGTTACTGATTTGTTTTTGTTTATCAATGCATAGTGTAAGAGGGTTATAAAGGAAAAACCATCACGCTCTAAATCCAAGCCTATCCGTCGCATTAAAACATGCATTGCCCATTTTCGCTAACCTACCTTGTTTACCGTTATACCATTCGAATTTTGGAAACACTCAAAACTGTGATACATCAGATGCATATTTTTCATTCGATTGAAGTGTGTACAACCGAGGGTAATAATTCAGCTAAACCAGGATGTGCCATTTCTTTTAATGAACTCACGTGCACCTCTGTTGATTGAAGTTCTTAGCTAAAATGCCCATACGCGTTTAATTCGTCCACAACAGTTCTTCCCCTTTCCAGCACCACCTGCAAGGGCGGACCCAAAAGTCTAAATATATCTATGCAGTGGTCAATGATTATCCTTACTCTGTCCAGGGCTCTTAACCAATCATAGTCTTGAAAATCACAGTAAGCTTTACTAAAAAAAAATAAAAAACCACTTCCATTATATACTGACGCCACAGCGTTTTTAAATCATGGATTCCACCGACCGTCTCCCCTCCGAATTATTTATTGAAATCTTTAAAAAGCTTGACGTAAAATCCTTGTGCACTCTTGCCAAGGTTTCCCATGCACTAAATATTCTATCTTCGGATAATCACATTTGGTCGGCGTTGGCGTTGAAACGATGGAAGAATAAACAAGGGATGAAGGATATTTGTGACTGGAAAGGTATAATTAACCACAGCCAGAATGATAATGATGCTCGGGATAATACTCAAGAAAAATCTAACGATGATAATCTAAGCAGTTCTAGCGAAATTCAGAATGGTAGTGTAAACAATCGTTTGAGGGGATTTGAACTTTGGTTCAGTAGGCCGGGAGTCTGGAAACGCGTTTACGCGTTCGTGGAAGCTGAGGCAAAAAGATGTAGATGGGATGACGAGGATCTGATCGACAATGTTTGGTTGTTTCGGGTAATTCATATCCTCGGTGATTATGTATATTTTAAAAAGAAAAAAATAAGTGTTTGTTTAACTTGGCGGTTTCACGTTTTCCCCGAAACGACAGTTCAATTCATTTCCACTGCCGCATGCGGAATCCCCAAAATTTCATCGCAACGGAATATACACACACAGGGGGATGATGAATGGTCATTTCCCGGTAAGACAACACTCGGATTTGAATTGAAGCAAGCAAGAGACATTGTATTACCCATGAATATCACTCACGAAAAAAAAAAAAATGTGCTTGTGTGTTTTTTTTTTTTTTTTTTTTTTTTCTTTTTCGTAAACACAAATAGTATACCTTCACACAAGAAGGATACGTGAGGGTGGATCAATTTCCTCCCCTAGTCCCACAAAGGATTCCCAGTTCATGGGGATTCAAAATGACAAATCATAATGTGACCTTTGAGTCATTGGACACCCAAAGTTTCAAGAGGAAGCTGAAAGAATTTGAAAGATGCCTCTTGATCGAATTTGGAATGGACGTGGATGGGAACGATTATGCCAATGCCGATGAAGGAAGTGATTCTCAAGGCGGCAACAACCTTTCGGATGATAATGCTCTTCAGAGAAACACTGCGAATTCGGTCGATCGGAATGGCGACGAGTATGTGCATGATAATGACGACAGTGTGATCGTGGTCCTACCGCCTATTGGATATCACTACGATGTGAGCATGAATGACCAGTATTTGCAGGATGGACACGGTCCCCTCGGAGGATTTAACAGAGTAAGAGGTCGTTATGTAATTTTCCGAATCGATTAAGGTTGATGGTAGCAACGCTTATTCATTAAAAAATCCTCAAATATTCATGTATTTTTATTCCTCAAAATTATTTATAGGTTTATTTTTTGGGTTTTCATTGACTGAAAAAAACTTGTTGGCTCAATATTTTTCACGCAATGTGGGTTACAATAAACAACATATTTAAGTAATGAACGAATGCTGTAATGTCGAAAGTTGATATTCTATGACTTGTGAATACTTGAAAATCTTGATGGAAATTAAGATTTCACATAAATAATTGATAAATATAGATGACCCTTATCGCTCAACAGAATTTCCCGAAATAGGTAATGGTTCGCTGTGATGAAACGCGAAAGTTGCATAAATAACAAGGATCAATAGAAAAAATTTTTTCGCTCAACTCAACGAGGAGTCTATGACAATCCGTGAATGAGTAATTGTTTGTTCACAAAATTTTGATTCCACTTTAACAAATTGTTGATATCCTTGACCCAATCTACACCTTCGTCAACCCTATTTACGCACGGCATCGGGTACGGCGATGTCTGCACCTGTCGGGCGTCAAACAAGGATGCGGCAATATTAGGCGAGATCATTCAATCATCATCAATAACGAGTGTCAAAAGGGTTAACGCTCTCTCGAACCTCCAAAAAATCTCCTTTATTCAACATACAAACTTCTCTGCCGTCAACCGTAACTTCAGTGGGCGACCTACATTCTTCGCTGATCTACAGTTGATTTAATCGCGTCAAAGAACTGTGCACGTGCGTGTGTGCGCGTACAGATGATACATTCTATTTACCTTCAACTGTATTTTCGCCGTTTGCGGGATCAAGACTGGCCGGAACGATAGAGATCGTGGACAGATCGGCGTGAGAAGAAGGCCTTGAACCGATGGATGAACTATTGGACCACCTGTAAGACATCGAAACACGACAATCACCTCGAGTAACTAAATGTGATCACTACAACAACAGACTGGAACATACATATTTGATAACGAGATTGTCGCGTACCTGCTGATAACGAATACGCTGTTGAGCCGGTGGGCGTGGCCACGATAAGACCGTCCGCCTTTCGTGAGGAACATGTCAGCAAACAATCAAATTATCTCAAGTGTAAGCAATGCAATGACTTTGTGTGTGTAGGTACCACAGCCTCCGTCAAGAACTGCTCATCTACAAAACAATTAATGACCGCCAAATGTGGATATCTTCCTCTGTGCAGATTAACTTCGTTCATGACCTGTAAATCTCCTTGGAAAAAAAAAATGTAGACGAGAACGCGGGGAATACTTAAGACAATTGTGAGATTAGGATGTCGAGTTAATTCATTACCGATCTCTTGATCATCATTCATCACTCTTTTCCTCTCCGCTGTCCACAACGCGCACGTTAATCTCATGCGAAGTAACAATGAAATTCCTCCTTTGATTAAATCCGCGATCGCTCGTCGATAATGTTGTATGTCTTTCTCGGGAGGGATTTGATGATTCAGTTAAGGAATAAATTGCCGATTTGATCATTAAATCGTCTGATGTTGATTTAACCATTCAATCATCCGAATGAATTTGGTTGAAAGAAAGAGGTGGATACGAAATGGTAACAGGAATCCCAAAGTTCCCATCGAGAAGGAAACGACCGGTGGAACGGCTTTGTCGAACAACGATGAAACGTGTAGAATTGTCCCGTCGCCACCAAGTGTTATTACAAAATCAACGACACGCGCGTACTCCCGTTTATTCTCTAGAGGAGGTCTTAACAAAGTTGGCTCAAATAGGTTGGTGGAAAAAAATAGATAATCATCATCACAAACCCATACCCAAAGGTGCCACGTATATATATGGAAATTCGTCCCTAAATTTCTCTGCGACATCGTTCTCAACGATGATATTCAGGTGCGGGTATGTACTGTGCAACCATCTAGATTCGAAAAATCTTCGTTAACCAACGAGCACGATAAACACGAACAGTAATCATCTTTGACACCCTCACTTTACTAGTTCCGTGAACGCCTTGTTCGCAAGTTCACTTAATGCTTTCTTGACGACTAATACTGATCGGGGAGGATCTATCCATTCCAATCGTAGATTTCCTCTGGAAATGGAAATTATCGTGATCACGTGATCGACAAGCGAATGCAGAGGTCAACGAGAACTGGATACAAACTCATCTTTAGACTGAACGATTTGTTTGATCTCGGTGGTTGATACTCCAACAATGGGCTGCGTCTCACGTGTAACGTTTTGCTCTATAAAGAGAATCAATAAACTTGATATAGATAATAGGTCAACAATGCATGAGCACAATATTATTACCCTACTTAGTAAGAACGACACTTTATTTGGCAATTCTGTGGTGTCCGAATACCGTCGAAGGCAAGGGGAGAAGCATTGACCGGAATTTTTGGCACCGAGGAGGATCCTTCGAGGATGAGTATGGATATCTCTTCTAAATATCGTGGAACGAAGTATCATTTTAGAAAGAATGGATGTGATCTACCAATCGAATTGATTTACCCAAATTTAGGTTAACCTAATAGAATATAACCTATATAACCCTCAACGATGATCGCTTCCTCAATCCTGAACCCTTACCTTTTTACTCTTGGTTCAAAATTGTCCCAATGGCAGATCCAGCTGTTTTGAAGACTTACTTTGACACTGTAGATAACCTTCAAGACTACTATGTCGAGAGGTTAAAGGAAGCGGTGGCCATTAAAAGGTAGTGCACGAACGGGGATTGATTGCGATTTTAATTCAAAAGTCAAAGGACGACGATAATGTTCGTCATTAAACATTCATTGACGAGAAAATGCAATCCAATGCCCATTTGATGTTTTGTTGATGAAACATTGTTATTTAGTATGATTCACCGTTTTGTCTAAACTTTAGCATAAGCTCTGACGCCGCTTATCGTGACGACGTATTCAAAATGAGTCAATGGCTCACCGGGTTATTCCAAAAACTGGGCATTAGGTGAAATTTCATTATACCATGCTCACAGTAAATTCTTCTTTACGAACGAGTCGCTCAAAATAAAACCCCTTTATTCAAATTGTAACGCGTCTCGTGAACTAGTTATGAGTTGGCCGACCTGGGAACTCACGTCATGGATGGAAAAACTTTAAAATTACCACCCGCCATTCTCGGAACTTACGGCAATGATCAAAACAAGAAAACCATCTTGGTTTACGGTCACTACGATGTTCAGCCCGTAAGAGCACTGTCCCCATCACATTCTTCGCGCATCTCAGTTCGATGACACTTGTTCACGTCGGTTATCTTTCTTTTTTTCCAATTTAAGGCGCTTATAGAGGATGGCTGGAGTTCTGACCCATTTGAATTGCACGAAACTTCCAAGCATCAATTGATCGGGCGAGGTGCTAGCGATGATAAGGGACCCGTTATCGGTTGGCTTAACGCCATTGAGGCGCATCAAAAAGCCGGCATAGAGTTTCCCGTTAACTTGAAGTTTTGCTTTGAAGGTAGGTGAAACTGCGAGGTGATCTTGGCGGTTGCAGAAATGATGTGGTGATTTGAGTGCCGCCTTTGTTTCTTAGGGATGGAAGAATGTGGTTCGGAGGGAATGGATGAATTGGTTGTCAGGGAAGCAAAGAGATATTTCACGGGTGTGGATGCGGTCTGCATCTCGGACAATTATTGGTTGGGTGTTACCAAGCCATGTTTGACGTATGGTTTACGCGTAAGCTTCATTATAATCTTAAATTTGAACGTGCATTGGTGGTAGTACCCATTGATCTTTACACGAATGACCTTTGTTCTAAACAGGGAATTTCCTATTTCAAAATAACCATCTCCGGACCTGGGAGAGACCTGCATTCCGGCGTTTTCGGAGGGACTGTTCACGAGCCCATGACAGATTTGTTCTTGTTGTTCAGTAAATTGGTGTCCCCGTCTGGTGATATATTGATTCCGGGGATTAATGATAATGTGGAGCCTCTAACCGGTATTTGATTGCCAATCTCGATGGAAATGTTTGTCCATGCCCTAAGAAAAGTATTAATGAATGAACACAAATCTGATCTCTAGAGGAAGAAAACAAAATCTACGAATCGATCGAGTTTTCCATGAATGAATACCATGATGCCATCGGATCCAAGACTACCATTTACGAGGATAAGATAAAAACTTTACAGCATCGGTAAAAACGAAAACATCATTTTTTTTTTTTTTTTTACTTCTCTCGACTCAGCACTTTTTCCCGTTCCAGGTGGCGCTTTCCGTCGCTTACGATTCACGGTATCGAAGGTGCGTTCTCGGCACCCGGAACGAAAACCGTATTACCCGCAAAAATCACCGGAAAATTCTCAATCAGATTGGTTCCAAATATGGAACCCGATCGTATCAACGCCTTGGTTGAAAAATTCCTAACAGAGGAATTTGCCAAGTTGGGAAGTAAAAATACTTTAAACGTTGGATGTGTGCATGGAGCCAAAGCATGGGTTTCAAGTCCCAATCATTGGAATTATGGTGTGTATATTTTTGACGCATTTTGACACCTCTATTAACCCTTACCTCGGAATCAGTGTAACATCTTCCTCTTTCCCCTCAAAAGTCGCGGCTGCTAAAGCTATCGAGAAAGTATTCAAGGTGCATCCTGACTATACACGCGAAGGTGGTTCCATTCCTATTACCCTGACTTTCCAAGACGCGTTGAACAAGAATGTTCTTTTGTTGCCAATGGGACGAGGAGATGATGTACGTAATGCTATGTCATTTCTTTGCTATTTATTCGCGAGAATGACATCTATGCCGATACCAATCCGTATTCTTTCTTAAATTCATCATAGGGAGCCCATTCGATTAACGAGAAACTCGATCGTTCGAACTATATCGAAGGCATTAAGTTGTTCGGTGCCTATCTACACGAAATTGCGGCCATCAAAGCTGAATAGTTTCCGTGATCTGTTGACACAAGCGATAATATTAAATTTGTAAAATATTTTGAATGCGTGTATTATTAAATTTCAATTGAATTGCTAGTTGACCAATGAATATCCATCTTAACGTTCTCCATATTGCTTTAAGCGATATTTCTATTTTCGGTTGTTCAACGGAATATAGTTGTTATATTAAAAAAAAAATATCGGAATTTTTTTTGTCGTCAATGAATTTCTTCTTTATCATGAAATTGTCTTTTAATAAGATTTTCTAAGAGATAACATTAAATGATGCCATCTAATGATATAACGTGGTAATATTTGACCAAATTCAATTAGCAGCATTGACGGTAAAATTACACATTGATTAAGTGCGAAATTTATAATAATATTAACTGTAAATGTTGTTAAATAGCAATCGATGTTACAGAGTTATTTTTTAATTATGCGAAATTGTAAATCGTGTGATTAAACATTCGGTAAAATCGAATTTTCATCATGATTCTATCAATCTTTATTATCAATTTATGCACACAATAAACCTTTTAATTATTATTTTTTTCTAATCCTAGTTATGTGTGCTTTATTAAATTTATAGTAAACTATACATTTTGATGTATCACTAAAGCAAAATCTCCAACTCACTTGTCTTAGTTCTAAGTGCAACTTTGGTAGTAATTGGTTATTCCGTTGATAATTCAAGTAAAGATTCTTCTAACCAATAACATTATTATTTACAGATCAATTATTCGCAAAGTTTTGATCAAGATCAAATCTAATTATTTAAATTTTGTATTTAATATTTTTTATTAAGATCTTTATAAAGTTTTAGTCATTTAATTGTTTTTTTATTTGTTAAATTCTATAACCTTGTTTCTATTCTATAATTATTTTATATTATGCGTTTTTTTAAAGCAATTGAAAAAATTTTTTTGTATTTATAATATTTATTTATTTATTTTATTTTTTAATTTAATTATTTTTTCACTTATATATTTTTTTTTCAAGTTTTATTAGAAGTTTAATATTTTTAGTTAATTTTAAAAGTTTATCTAACTAATTTAAATATTTATTTATTTATTTATTTCAATTCTTCTTTATTATCTATCTCTTGGTGTTATAAAAATGAAAATAAAGAAAATAAAAAAGAAAATTAAAACAGTCATGTACAGTTCGAGAGAATATTGCTCTTATTTTTTGATATATGACTATCTTGTTTTGATTCTCCTATAGAAAAGTCCAAAGAAAAGAATTTATACTAAGTCTTTATGAAAATAAATTGAAGACCAAAAGAGTGACTTTATAGTTTTAATGCTTGTGAAGAGAGAGTTATCAGGAAGGTCCGGGTGATATATTGGTATTTGCATGAGTAACTTGAAAGTCTTTCAGTATATTATTAATTAAATCTATTCCTATCTAAATATGAATGTACTTATCCATCTGTACATTATATTTCAGATTTAATTCCTTATAAGAAGAACAGCATCTAGTCTTGCAATAGACATATCCTACTGATAGCCATTAATATTAATAATCAATAAGAATCTCTCAGATTATCCAGTCAGCTCATATATCACTACTGATATTTTTGGACTTGAATTTTGATTAATGAAATGGCATTAGTCTTTCAGTCTTCCAGCTTGAAATTTTTTAAAAATAGGATAAAAACTTCTTAGGTTGCTTTGCACATGAGCTTTACTACTGTGATCAAATTTATATTTGACCAGTGTATCCAAGTGGAATTGCTTTTAAAAGAACAATTCCCAAAGAAAGATTTAA